ATTTATGCATTTTTGAAATGTTCAAATCTATATATCTTCCTGGTCATGTGACCAAATTATGTCACACCAGTTGTAATATCTTCACACAATCCTGTCACACATCATACCTTTAAAATAAATTGTATTAAGAACTGTATTAATAAACCCTCATCTATAAGGAATCTGATCCCTAATGTTATTTTTTTCCAAACTAGGAGGTTTAAGTTTCTTATGAATGTGTAATTATATCCCTATCAAATGATCCCTTTTTCATAGGCAAATGTTATTAGCTTGGTCCCTCATTTTTAAACACAATTTTACATCTTAATCTCATATAATCTGGAATAATAAGAATCGACTGTATACTGTAAACGCATCTCTTTTCGTTGATAATTGGTTTAAAAATGGTATTATTTTTGTCTCAACTTTTCAATCAAACTGGTTCAATCTGTTATTACTCTGAGGTCTTGGATAAGCATGACTTTTTGTTTCAGGAGGAGTCTGTTTCTGTGCCGTGTGTAATCTCTTACTGGAATGGTTTTGTAAGTGATGTTCGCTGGAAGAAAATTTGCTCATTACCTCGCAAATACCTGATAACAGAATGAGAGAAGTTACATTTAATTGGATTCATAGACTTTATGCAGATAAGTGCTCTCTTAAAAGACACAAGAATGATGTTAATACCATCTGTTCTTTCTGTTTTGAGAAACCTGAGACCTCTTGACATTTATTTTGGAATTGCTCTCACACACACTGACATTATGTTGTGACATTTGATTTGATCAAATGTTACATGAATCCTAATTTTGAATATACGTATAGAAATTTAGTTTTTTTCATGATTGTGAAAAGGAAAGTGATATTTATTTCATTTCCTATTAGCTAAATATCATATTCATAAATGTCAATTTTCTAAATGCAAACCTCTTTTTTTTTTTAAGATTCAAACTTGAAATGAAAATGTATTTTAAATCTATTGAGTTCTCTACTAAATTAAAAGCAATAAGAACATGGCTTTGTTGAAGGACTTGGCACTTCATCTGAACTGAAAGACTGAAGGACCCTGGATTGTTATTATTATTGTTGTCCTCACACACATCATACACAAACTGGATTTTGGAAATATGATTTTGTGTATCTTTGGTGAATTTTTCAAATATTCAAATCTATATAACTTCCTGATCATGTGTCCTCATGTTGCCACACCTACTGTATTATATTCATAAACATCTTTCACTCATTGTACATTCATATTTTTTCTTTTGAAAATATAGTTGTTGCTTTTAGTCAATTATTTGAATTATTGATTTTTTTTTTACGTTTTGGTCATGTGACCTGATGTTGTTACACAAGGCCAGTTCATATTCACAAACATTTTTCATACAAAAATATTTACATGGCGATCTTATTAGTACTACTTAAATATCACACATTTATTTAAGTAGTACTATAGTGATTTTTTGTACTGTTAGTCCTTGTGTAATTTGGTGGGTCCAGGCCTCAATAGCATTTTCTGTGAAATGCATAAAATAGGAATTTTATGTAGAAAATGTAAGAACAATCATAATTTGCAACAACAGTGGGAAAATAAAATCAGGACATGATTCCAATCAGTCTTGAACCTGGGTCCCACTGAGTCAACAGGCCTCAACTATCCTAAACTAGTGCACAGTCCACTGTACCATTCATTCCTACAAGTGCTAACTCCGCTTGTCTGTAAGGGCATGTTCAGTGGTGTCATTTTTGTTTTTTTGAGGAAACATAAGTTTAAGTATCCCTACATTCATGCCCGCGTCAGGTGAAATTTTGCTCAATATGTATAATTTCATGAGATTTTAAAGGGGTCATATGATGCTGCTAAAAATAACCTTATTTTGTGTATTTGGTGTAATGGGATGTGTGCAAAATCTGTTTTTTGCTTAGTTAACCTTTCTGCTAAACATTAGATTTATTTATTTATTTTTATTATTCATATCCAAGCTGACAGTTTGGCATTTTTTGCTGATATATTACAGGCAAAATGACATCATTAGATCACATGACCATTTGAATATAATTGATTTGATTTTTTTCATGTACTGAGAACAACACAAAATCTTATTTCCCTAAAATAAGGCATGCACAGGAGATGTTTGTGTATGTTTATGAATATAGTACAGTGGGTGTGGCAATATGAGCTCACATGACCAGGAAGTTACACTGTAAAATCTAATTAGTTGGGCTTCCTTAAAAAAAGCATGCATTTTTAGTGGTGTCCGAAACCATAGTGGTCGTTCTCGAGTGCACTCATTCAATCCCACAATGCACTGCAAAAACGAGTGTACAACTGGTGCACGCTCAACGGCTAGAGAATGCCCATAATGCACCGTGAGAGTCATGCGCCGAATGAATTCCCGCATCTCGCCAGAAGATGGCGCCCGCAGCTGAATAATCAATCCGTTCATTTTTACAAAGCGCTCATCCATGGCATACAGCATAATGTACAACACGGGTATAAATGCATTGTAAATTGATTATTAAATTGTTTAATTAGGGTTTATACATAATTTCCGTGACAGAGTTCAAGATAAATCCTTTAATCTTACTGGAGCTGCTAGTTTCAAATGATTAATAAACAGCAAGCACAAACTATGCAAAAAGCGGCATTCCTTCCGGTGCACTCAGTGTCCGAATTCACTACTCGTTTTCATTCACTCCTTCAAGTGAACTGAATTAGTGACCTAATGTAGGGAATAGTGAATAGGGTATAGGGGGCGATTTCGGACACAGCCACT